GTAAACGCTTGTTGGCACCTATTCTACACTGAACAAATGTTTAAGTGCTTCTTTATCGAAGAATGTTAACAACAGAGCTACAAGAAAATATCAAATTCAGCTTCAGGATTTGGTTCGTAAATCTTCTATGAAGAATACTCTAAGAGTTGAAACAGCTCGATTTTGTTTTAAATTGTACATTTACTTTTCTTGTCATCATTATTATGGGATATTCGAAAAACATGGTGAAAATATCTATTGATCCATTTTTAAATTGGCTTAAATAAGCCAATTTAATTGGAGTTATCGTATTATAAAAAGTCCTATATTAGGACTTTTTATAATACAATAACTTCATTGAATGTTAGCGCTTCAATTTTAAAATTTTCAATGATGTTGACAAAAATATAATAAACTTTGTTAATTTTAAGTCACGCGATCTTCGGGTTCTTTTCAGAAGTTATTAAAATGATTAATTACATTATTTCGACGAAGTTCCAAATAAAATAAAATAAATAAAATAGAGGATTCAAATCCTCTATTTTATTTATCTAACAACCTAAAGTGGTTTGTGGACTAATAAACAAAAATTGTGTTCTTCTAATCCGACTGTTCACCAGAGTTCAAGAATTATCCAAAAGCAATTTTAATTTCCATGTGTTTTATTTAAATGCAACTTTTTCGTCGATCCCTCCTCAGTAATGTTTACACAAATATTTTACAGTAGGTAGTGTCTACAACAAAGACCACGCCAAGTATGCACAACCATCTTTGTGTTAACTGTGAATGTTTTGGGTAGAATTGTAGAGTGGTTTTTAGATGACTGTGAATACTCGGCGTGGTCTTTGTTGTAGACACTACCTACTGTAAAATATTTGTGTAAACATTACTGAGGAGGGATCGACGAAAAAGTTGCATTTAAATAAAACACATGGAAATTAAAATTGCTTCTGGGTAATTCTTGAACTCTGGTGGATAGTCGGATTAGAAAGACATAACAATTTTTGTTTATTAGTCCACAAACTCTTTTTAGGTGGTTAGATAAATAACCGATTAGGCCGACTAATATTGCTAAATTTATCTAATTAGAAACCTTCATTAGAGAGTGGGAATAATGACTAAACTTGGAAAATTGAGGTACATATGTTCTTCTAAAAATACTAAAAAGTGCTCTTAAAACATATAAAAGTAAAATCTTCATTTTATTGTGCATAAATGCAAATATAGAACACGTAAAACTCGAGAAAATGATAGAAAATGCGCATCCTTTAGTCATTTTCAGAACCCGACCCGTCTGTTCCATAGCTTACAAACAGAAAAGCACTGCATTTGCAATCACACAGCTGTACTACATTTTCCATGATCAGCCGCAAACGGCTAGAGTGAAGTAAATCTTTGAACTGAGAAAACATCAACCTCAATAGATGTGAGAGAAACGTATTTAATTTTCACTAAAAGCTTTAGGTTTTGTGATTGAAAATACTCCAGAATTATATTTTAAATATACGGATTTTTGATCAGGTATTCCAGTTTCTCTAAAACAAATCCATCTGGTTTTGACGTGTTTAAAAATTTTTTACAGCTTGTCAGTGGACAGACCGCTTTCGTCAAGCTTGTACGAATAAACAATGTAGAGTTTCTTTAACGCGGTTTCTGTTTCAACAGAAGACGCGTTAAAGAAACTCTACACTGTTCGTTCTTGCTTGAATTTCATTTCGGCCACTGAAGACTTTTTGTATAGTTTATCAATAAATGCTTCCGAGTATGAGATATTTCGGCATTAAAAAGCCATTTGAATTACCGCGCCTCATTTGATTATTACAGGGTGTTTGGGAGTGGCTAGCCATCTCTTTATATAGAAGTATTACACATTCTAAGTTTTTATTCTAGCGCAATACGTCCTCCACCCGTAACTTCGTTGCTTATCTACTGCTGCTATGATACATATTGAAGATCATGTACAGTACATCGGCTACATTCTAATTCTGGGAAATACTACAGAAATTACTTATAATTATTACTTTCCCTAATGTTAATATGTAAGCAAACAGAAAAGGTTACACGTTAAGGTTTTATGGTCATAAAAATTATTAACGTAAGTATATGGGCATCAAAACCATGTAAAATTAAAAATATAATTCTATATCTTTATATTACAGATACAAGCCGTTCAATAAGAATTCTAATAAAAATAGGAACAAGAATTTAATAATTTTAATGATTTTTTTTTAATTTTCTTTATATAATATACTGTACAATACTTTTTTTTATCATTTTATATTTGTGTTTAAAATCAAAGTAATAATATTTGAGATTCAAATGCAATAAGTAAGGAATTAAAAAGATAGTAGCAAAAATAATTTCTTTTAAGCAGTTTTGTGAAAAACAATAACGAAACACCTAAATTTTTAAATAGAGAAAACAGAAAATGACCATTCGAATACACTAAATAAAAGTGAAATTTAAATAAATGATTAAAAAAACTTTTATATCAGAAAGTTACAATCGTAAAAAGAACTTTTTATGAAAATATAGAAAACAGCATTAAATTTTTAACTTGCAAAAATATTGTCATTTTAAATATAAATAAATGAAAGATTTTGCAATTTTCATCGAACTGCGTATAGAAAATTAAAAATTTCATGATCTTTAAAGAGAAAAATTTAATGTTTTACTGTCAACTTTTCAACAAATTTTTATCTTTATAAAATTTCTGAGAAACTTCAATAGATCAAGACGGAAAGTAAAGATTAAAGAATTAAAGATAAACAGTGAAATGTAAACAAAGTTATTTTTTATTTACAAAGTAAAGTAGCACTTAAGGAAAGTAAAATCGTTGAACAAAAATTATATATTTATATTTAAAAATGCTGCAATAAAATGTTCTTTTATTTTCATTTTAAAATAAATAATAAATATCGGTTCGAACGTGTAATTGCCCAATTTTGTTTTAAAGTTTAGACAGAATTTTTTGAATTCTATATTATTGATAGATTAAATTCAAATACTAAAAATATACAGTTTAGACATATTATTAATAAAAAATAGACTAAAAGTTATAGAAAACACGAAATAAAAAAACTGTAAATGTTACGGTTGTCTGATAAGTTTATATTTTAATAAGTAAATCGTATGCAATAGCGTAACCAGGAGAATCTGAAGGGTCTGCCCACTCTCAGTCCCAATAGGCTTTATTAATAAGTAAAGAAAAAATAAGTACAGTACAGGAAAAAGATTTGAATGTGACAAAAAACACTTTATACACATATACTGTATATACAATACTCAAGAGTCTTTACCATTACCAAGAGCCAATACTTTCATCGATGATGTTGTATGTACAGGGTTCATCCCTGTACAGTACCACTAGATGCAGTAATAACGTTTAGTACTCGTAGTAGTACTGGTTGAATGTGGGTTCGCACGTTTTCTAATTCGGGTCTTCTAATATCGATTGTACAGTACTTACTCTAATGATGACCGTATATATTAGGATTTCTTGTTACGACGCATACGTACAGTAAGCCTGTAATACATTTTATATTTATAAATCAAAATTATCGTCTCGTTTACGTTAAAAACTTGATTTTTGGACTGAAACAAAACAACTTTAAGCTATACTTCCATTAGAAATCAAGGTATGGATTAGTAATAACTAGAACAGAGATGTACTGTACAATCCACGGCTCACTGCACCCTAAATTTTTTAGGTACATTTTTATTTATTTTGATAAACTATGTCGTAAAAATTATTCTTCAATGGATACACTTTGACGTTGTAATGACATAATTGGTAACATGATTTGTAACTGACCAATTAAAAAAGTTGGTGACGTGGTCTGTCATTTTGATTGTTTCAGTTACAAAGATTTTTGTAATGAAGTGATGTTGTTATATAGAGTACCTTATATAGAGTTAATAAAGAGTGAATACCTTTCATCAGGCGGATGAAAAAGACACATAATCCCTCTTTCAAAAGAGTGTCAGCCATTTTCAGTGACTCGAGGCTAGACCTAATGCCAAAGTGGACGGAGCTAATTTATTCTTTATTTATTTCTAATTACAGGTATATAATACAGACATAGGTCTATCTATATATTTCTTTTGATAACGTAATAATTTAAATATTTTCAACCTCCAATTATATTCATAATTATTTCATCAACTTTAAATTTATATTTTTAATAACCCAGAATTTGGTAATGGCATCTAATACTAAAAAAAGAAAAATAACAGAAGAAAAGCGAAAATTCAATACGTTTTGGCCAGAAAAATATTTGGTAATTGAAACGTGTTATCTGTTTTCAACCTCCAATTATATTCATAATTATTTCATCAATTTTAAATTTATATTTTTAATAACCCAGAATTTGGTAATGGTATCTAATACTAAAAAAAGAAAAATAACAGAAGAAAAGAGAAAATTCAATAACTTTTGAACAGAAAAATATTTCGTAATTGAAACATGCAATAATATTATCTGCCTTATTTCTCATGATAAAATCGCCGTGCGTATGGAATATAATATTAAGCGTCACAATGCTGCCAAACATGAGTCAAAATATAATAAACGAAAAAGAAGAAAAATGAAACAGATGAATTAAAAAAGCAGTTTAGTTCTCAACAAAACATTCTCAAAAAATCTATTGTTAAAACTGATACATGTACAAAAAGTTAGCTATTTAATAGCTGAAAAATTGACTCAGAAGGATGAGCCACTGGTAGATGGTAAATTAATAAAAGAATGTACAGTATTGTAATTGCTTTTCATGAATATTTCTCTCGAGAAAGTGAACTTATTCAATAAAACGTGTCTCTCATATCAGACAATTAGTAGAAGAATTGATGACATAGATGACGGTATTGTGAGTGCATTGCAGACCCAATTATCTAAACGTGTTCATTACAGTTTAGCATTAGACGAAAGTACCGATCAAAGTGACACTGTACAATTGATTATTTTCATCAGAAAAATTGATGTCAATTTCAATATTATTGAAGAAATGTTGAACTTATGCCATATGAATAGTACAACAATTGGCAGGGACATACTTGAGCACTTTAATTTAGCCATTAAAAAATTCAATATTGATAAAAATAAAATTTATTCGATTACAACTGATGGTGCTCTTGCATTAGTTGGTAAAAATAACGGATTTATTTCTTTATTTAAAGAATCTGTTGATTATGATATACTCAACTACTATTGCTTATTTCATCAACATCAATTATGTGCTCAAAAGTTAAACATGTATCAGATGATGACAGATCTTGTGAAAATTATGAATTTTATCAGACCTCGGGGTTCGAATCATCGTGATTTCAAAGCATACTTGGAAGAAGTTAGGAGTGAGTGTAACGACGTTATTTATTTTTCAAAAGTCAGATGGCTCAGTAAAGCAGCAACTTTGAAAAGATTTCGATTATTGTTATCTGAAATAAAAGAGTTCATGCAAAGCAAAAAGCAAAACGTAGATGTTTTTAGAAAACGAAGAATGGTTGAATGATCTTGCCTTCTTAGTAGTTATCACTGAAATGTTCTTTAAACTTAATTTGCATTTACAAGAAAAAATTTTTTGAGCAGCCCTGAAGTTTTCGTTACAATCGTATATACTGATACGCTTTGTTTATTTGATATTCTTCATTTGGATATATCTGAAAGGGCTTATTCTAAGAATTAAAATAAACATAAAGTTCATACAAAGACCTAAATAGTATTACACATCTTACATTATTTCGGACACTTGACAAATAACACTGATAAATTATCAGAGAATGAGTTATTCGAAGAATTTTTAAAAGTTTCAAGAATACATTTTGTCGTTATTTTGAATACATACGGGATAAAATAAATGCTCTCTTTTGTTATCTCGATAAGAAAAAATGCAACCGAATCTATTTTTTGATATTCTCGACAGAAAAGATATTTTATTTTGAGAAATATAATGTTATATTAAATAGTTCTTTTATTTTTATTTTTCGTAAAAAATTTTTTTTTTGGTGAACATAGATTAATAATTTATTTCTTAATCATAATTAAAAATATAAATAACATTAATTAAATTAACAATGAAATAAAATTAAATCAATGTTATTAACTAAATTTTATTTATTAACATTAATGTTATTAATTTAATTAATTAATAATTAAAGGCACATTAAATTATTTATTTGTTTTTTTAACTTGGATTTATTGAAAGTTTATTTGTTCATACAGATTTATCGATGCAAATTAATAATTACTAGACTCAAAAATTATAAATGCATACGATTGATAAACTATTTAAATTGAATATAAAGTATAAATTATTCATTCGTACTTTTTAAATGTTGTCTAAGTGCCCGAAGAATTGTAGATGAAACTATTCTCTTTCTAGAGCAGCTATTTTTTAAACTGTTTCCACCCTGTGGGAACTAAGAGGGTTTCTTTTAGCAAGCCAATTAACAGTTCGGGTAGGTCCACAATGGAGCGGCTGGTTAATGAGGAACTGTGCCCGACATATACACCCGAAAAATTCTTGGAAATTTTCCAATTTGTCGGGATTCGATTCCTGGCCCCTCAGAGCGGTAGACTTGCACCTCGATTGCTCGGCCATCCGGCCGTGTCTAGAGCAGCTATTCTGGAGCATTCATTTGCACGTCTCAATCGATAATTTCTTTAAATCAAGCTTTCTAGATATCAAAAAATTATAATCAAATTGAAATAAAAAAAAACATGCATTTACATCGGATTTTATTCAGACGAGACCATTAATATCTTCGATAAACTAATGTGACATATGCATTTTTTGAGAAGAAAATACTGAAGTCAACTGATAGAAAAACAATGCGCAAAGGCAAATGTTTGTTGCATTTATAATTTAAACTAGCAAATGAGCCCTGCGTTGCTCGGACAAACGATTTGGATGATTTGGTAAATATTGTACGTTTGGAAATTAAGTTATTACTATCAAAAACAAAAAAAAAAAAATCGCATCTAAAACAGTATAGTAGAAGCTGTTCTTCAGGTTAAGCCTTAATCCTTTCCCTCTCCTTCGGGGGGATTTCGAAAATCCCATCTTAGTGTGCATTTTTATGACGTACCCTGCGTACCAAATTTCATCTCTTTAGGTTCAGTGGTTTGCTGTGGGCGATGATGAATCAATCAGTCAGTCAGTCAGGACATGTAATTTTATATATATAGATTATTCGAGTAGCTTACTATGTCTATAACAAATTCGATCGTAAATTCTCATATGAATTTCATTAATTTTAGTAATTTTAATGTTCTGGAATATTGTGGGAAAAAGTCAGTAAAAGTGATACAGAGTTTCTTGAAAGGAAAAAGAAAGTTACCTTATTGCGTAAAGAAGACTCGTAAGCAATATATATTTTGATCAAATAATTTTGAATTTTATGCAATTTCCGAAGTAACAGCTGAAATGAAAAAAAGAACGTTATTGCTTATATATCCACAATAATGAGGTATTATGTAATTTAAATTTATACAACAAACTAAAGTGTCGCAATCTGTTTTTCTTCATTTCAAATCAGTGTTTAAAATTTTTATTTAAAATTAACACTTATTTTCCTATAATACCGTTAAGAAAATATTTAAAAGCGGAAAATATACTTAACTAGTAGCCCGGGACGCCCCCTAGTGGGCGTTCTTTACAAATTTCCATGAGGCACGGTTCCTTTGACTTTTTTGTTCCTATCAATATGCTGTACAGCTCTGTTAAAGTCCCAATGGTAAGATTTACCCTCCGAATGAAGAGGTGGCGACCCCCCCAAACTGTAGCCCCTGTGCGAACAATAAAGTCAAAGGAACCATACCCCTACTCGCGATCCTTCGCGAGATATAAGCCCCTGAAATAATAAATTCCTATTACAAATATACTGAATTATTTATATTGTTATATTGACCAAATAATAATTTATGGGCCAAATGAATAATAATAAT